GTTCAAGGATGAACTCAGCGAGTCGGTTGGAGATGGTCCCGATGATATGGTTGAAGGTGAACTCGTCGAGTTCTTGCTAGACTCGACGAGTAGAGTCGGGGGTTGTATCATTTTGAAAGAATAAGGACTCGACGAGTTGGTGGACCAACTCGGCGAGTCAAGTCAACTGGATGTTGACTTTGACCAGGGTTTGACCTTGACTTTGACTTGGATATGGATTGACCCTTGTAAGGGTTATGAGTATGCAATAGTAATCGGAAAAGGTCGTTGTGTAGGGATTGGGGAGTAGAGACGAGTCGATTCCCGTGCCGAGGACCGTGCAGATACTGCACGACATCCAGGTGAGTTACCTTCCAGTAGCGGTGGGTCTAAGGCCACAATGCCGGCCCACCAGTAGGAGTGTATGTCGGACCATTGTCTTTGTGATAATTGTTTGTGTTTACTGCTACTTGATATGTTTATGTGTTAGCACGATATGATGTTACATGATCATAGAAGTAGGGGGAATAGCTCCCAAGTTACCGGTCGATAGGGCCGAAGGGGTAGTTTAGTACCCAACTATGCTAGACAGATTATGATTATGTGATAATATGTGGTAGACCGGTCTAGAGGACCGAAGGGGTAGGCCAGCACCCAGATATACGAGGCCAGGTCACCGGTCAAGAGGACCGAAGGGGTAGGCCAGCACCCAGATATGCTAGGCAAGGTCACCGGTCGAGAGGACCGAAGGGGTAGGTCGGGCACCCAGATATGCCTGGAAGTATGTATGTTATGTGTTTGCATGGTATGTGGTATGATGGGGGAACTCACTAAGCTTCGTGCTTACAGTTTTTAGTTTTGTTTCAGGTACCTCTTCAGAGAAGGGGAAGGAGCCGGCGTGGTAGCTGCACATCACATTCACACAGGATTCCGCATTTTGAGATCTATGGGATTGTACTCTGATTTTATTAATATCTTCATGATATGATTTTGAGACATGAGATAATGGTTTTATAAAAAGAAACGACTCAATTATGTTTACTTATAAATGTTTCCTAAATTGTTATATCAAAAATGAAATTTTTGGTCTTGAAAATTTGGATGTTACAGTTAGGGTTTTCCCCGACTTTCGGAACCCTGAAGGAACTCGACGAGTTGCTAGATGCACTCGACGAGTTGGGTTAACATGGACTGTTGATATTGACTGTTGACCTTGACTTTGACCATGGTTGACCAAGTTTGACTTTGAGGGTATTTTTGGTATTTCGGGATTTTGACAAAGTTAGTCACATGATGGTTGTAGGAAGTTGAGTTGGAGCTGCGAGTTGGGACTTATCTTATCTTATCATTTCAACATTCTTGAGAGGTGAGTCTTCTCACCATACCAATGGGTCTAAGGCACCAACGCCGGTCCATTTTATGATATGTGGATTGTCGATTGATTATGCGTCATGTTAGTATGACATTTACATGGAAGACCCCGGGGGTTCCTGTGGCAGTAGATTGAGACCATGTGGGGGTTCCCATGACAGTTGATGTAAGACCTCGGAGGGTTTCCATGACATCCTAACATATTTGTATGTTTAGTTTGTATGATATTTTCTTGGTAGTGAAGTGATAGTTTATTTTATTTACTTCTTTTTATAGTTTATTTTAGTATATTTCATTCATATTTTAGTTAACTTCCATACATATTTTCCTTTTTGTTATTTTATGATCATTTCGGGTACTTTCTAGTTTCGTGAGCATAATTGCAGATTTTAAGGAGACTAGCGGTTCGGAACTTATGGTAAGCGATTGGACTTGGAGGACAACGAAGATTTTGGGCTTGATGGCTATGGAGATGATGCATAGAGTGGGCTTGTCAATTATTTGAAGGCTTGGAAGAATTAAACTTTAGATTTGCAAGATGCGGGAGGATTTCAAATTTGCGGAAATTGATGATTGAGCGACTACGAGAGCTAGGGGTTTTAGAGAAGACAAATTGGGCTCAAATTGAAGAAATCTTGAAGAAAAATGGCCTGGAAGCTTATTGGAATCGAATTGGGCCAATGAACTAGCTGTGCAGGCCCAACAGTTGAAGTAGCCCAAAACTCCGTCACTCTTACGCGGCCAACGTAAGATACCCACGCGGCACGTGTGGATTCCTGCAGGGGCATATTCGGGAATTTAATTGGAGCTCTATATGGGGAAGGTTGGTGTGCCACTTTTCTAAACTTTTGCATGTTCGATTTTGGAGCCTTTTCTCTAGAGATTTGGAAGACTTTGAAGGCCAAGAACCCTCAAGAACTTCATCATTTTCTTCTTGAATCTTGTAAAATGTTGGGTACAATCTTTACTAACTTTGTTTTCTTGAGTTTAGCATTGCTTGGCTAGACAAAACTTGGCTGACTTTGGTTAAATCCTTTGACTTTTTGTTGAATGTTGAAGATTCCATGAACTTGTGTTTGAATCTTTATGAGAATGTTTTGTGATTTAATATCATATCACTACTTGTATGTTTTTATTCATGAGTTTAAATGTGTTTGTGGTGATTAGTTGGCTAATTTCTTGATTAAGTAAATGATCTTCAAATTAGCAAGCAACAAGTGATTTTTGTGTTAGTTTTACTTCACACGATCATAAAAACATTTTCTCCAACATGGTAGTGGAAGCTTTTGACTCCTCTTGGATTTGGTGACTTTTTGGTTCTTAATGCTAGTTGACTTTCACTAATTACATGCTTAATAGAAATTGTGACTTTGACTAAGGAAATTGTTATGAACTTATCTAACCATTTTAACAATTAAGAAAAGTCTAGGTAATCTCAAGCTTCTTGGATTACTATAGCCAAATTAAATATTTAAAACAAGTATTACACCATTGGATTCTAATGATATGTTCATCAAAAAGTCAAAGTGAGGAAACATTGAGTCAACCATCATTCTCCCATTGATTTTATATCAAATTCTTAGTTTAATTCTAGTTTTATTTCAAGTAATTTCAAAAGACCAAAACCCCCATTTTTATTTTTATTGTTATTTTACAAGTATTTTTACAAAGAGATTTTTCATAGAGTTATAAAATTGAACCAATCTCCGCGGATTCGACCCCTTTACCACTATACACTATTTTAGTGTAAAAGATATAAGGTTATTAATTTTGTTGGCATCGACAACTACCTTGAAGACCATGTGGGGGTTCCTATGGCAGTTAGTGAAGACCATGTGGGGGTTCCCATGGCAGGAAGACCATGTGGGGGTTCCCATGGAAGGTAGTTAAGACCACGTAGGGGTTCCAGTGACACTAGGTATAAGACCTTGGAGGGTTTCCATGACAACCTTATATGTTCTATGCATGACTTATGCGGTTTATGTAGCTTATATAGCTAATATGGATTATGTGATTATGTGGATTGTGTGGGGTATGCTCTGGGGGACTCACTAAGCATTAGCTTACATTTTGTTGATTGTTTCAGGTACTTCTGAGCCTAAGGGCAAGGGCAAGGTTTGATGGCGCGACATGCACTCTCCTACCACTTATTTGGGGACACTCTGATTTGATGAATAAAATGTTGATGTTATGGATTTTGAAAACAATTGTCATTTGGATTTTTATATTTTATGTGAATGTTTTGATTAATTAAAAATGAAAATTTTATTTGAAAATTTGGGTTGTTACAATTACTTTTTTTGGTTTATAAAACGTGCAATTAATTTATGATTATTTCATGGATTCTAATTTCTTTGATACCGACAGGACTAGGGTTTTTAAGAATTATGTTTCTATCTTTGATTTTTCATATTGAGGGGAAGGGGCGACGGGGCGATGAATGAGGACTGAGGATTGGGCACAGAGATTCAAGAACATAGGCCGAGAACTGAAGTCGAGATTAAAGCATTAAGGTTTCTTTTATAACTTTAAGCATATAGTCTCTCAGATACTTGTCTCTCTATTAGAAATTTGGAATTGAACCTAAGGATCTCACCTATTAAACGGATCCGTAAATTTTTTTTTGAAGAGGTATTAAATTGTAAGAGAAATAAAAGAATGATCTGAATAAAATTGGGTAAGATGTTATGTATTTATACATAAATAAATAAATAAATATATATATATATTATTACTGTTCAACGGTCAAATGGTCGAATTGGTTGCTTCTTGCCGTTGAGAGATATCATGGGCATAATATGGCTTGCCTTAACGCCTAACAGACGGTGTTCACCTGGCCTTAACGGCGTTAAGGAGGTGTCACGTCGACTCTTCCATGCTCATACCATTTAGTCTAAGGACGGTTTATGTTAACAAAATAGTTAGATACAAAATACGCAAACAATCCCAAACTATAGGGACCATATCGAGTATTCAAATTAAATATAAAAAAGCATATTTATGGCCATAAAATAATTTTTTCTATGTATAATGAGTTTTAGTGAACATGACTAGGTGGACTCCCCAACCTTTCATGTTTCTTAGTATATATATATATATATATATATATATATATATATATATATATATATATATATATATGACATATGAATCATAGGATAAAAGCACCATCGAGCATATTTGTGGTCATAAAATAAAATTTTTCATGTAAAATGAGTTTTAGTGAACATGACTCAGGTGGACTCCCCAAACTTTCATGTTTTTTAGGGAGTGTTTGGCTTATCTTTTGAGAGCCCAAAAGTTTTTTTTGGAGAAGATAAAATGCAAAAGATGTTTGGTAAAAGCATTTTAAAAACAACTTTTGGATTTTTTTATATAAGGAAAACTGACTTTTTGGAAAAGTCAGGAAAACCTGACTTTTTGTAACTTTTGCCAAAAAGATTTTTGTCTCCTAAAAAGATAAACCAAACACCCCCTTAATCTATATTATGACATAGGAATCATAGGATAAAACCACCGTCGAACATAACTCACGAGACCTCCCAAACTTCCATGTGGCAATACACAGATATATATCTCTTTTTAATCAACTCAAACACAACACAGCTACCCAAACATCCACTTCAAGAGAAATAAAACCAGCCACCGCCATGTCCACCGAACCACGGCTCAACAACTGCCGATTGGTGCTTTTTCCATTACCATTTCAAGGTCACATCAACCCCATGCTTCAATTAGCAAACATTCTTAACACAAAAGGCTTCAAGATTACCATCATTCACACCCATTTCAACTCGCCAAACCAATCAAACTATCCACAATTCACCTTCAAATCGATCTCAGACGGCTCGTCTGAATCAAAAAACATGAATTTGAATCTGGATACTCCTGATTCTATCATCAACTTCATGAACAAAAGTTGCATCAATCCGTTGAGGGATTGTTTAGTAACGTTGCAAGAAGAAAAACCAGTCACATGCTTGATCTCGGATGCGCTATGGCACTTCTCTCAATCAGTTGCAGACAGTCTTAATCTCCCAAGAATCGTTTTACGAACCAGCAGCATGTCCTGCATCCTTGTTTACTCAGCCTTGCTTCCTCATATAAAAAACTGCTACCTCAAAACCACAATTGAAGAAGAAGATCCGATCCCAGACCTTTCACTGATCACAGAAAAAGACATGCTAAAGATTTTTAACGACGATCGTAAGGAGGGAGAGCTCGAGTTAATCTTTAGCATGATCAAAACTATAAAAGCGGCTTCTGGGATCATATGGAACACCTTCAAAGAACTCGAAGAACCTGCATTTTGTGCCATAACCCAAAATTTATGTATTCCCAGTTTCCCACTTGGTCCGTTTCATAAGTATTTCCCAGCATCCTCTAGCAGCTTACTAGAACAAGATCGAAGCGTTATGTTATGGTTAGATCTGCAACCAGTTAGGTCTGTAGTATATGTGAGTTTTGGGAGTATTACTCAAATGGGTAAAGCCGAGTTCAGCAATATGGCTAGGGGGCTTGCAAAGAGTAAGCAACGGTTCCTATGGGTGGTTCGGCCTGGTTCGGTTTCAGGGTCTGAATGGCTCCAGTCTTTGCCTAAAGGTTTTATAGAGGAAGTAGGTGAAAGGGGGTGTATTGTAAAGTGGGCTCCTCAACAAGAAGTATTAGCTCATCCAGCCATAGGAGGCTTTTGGACCCATAATGGATGGAACTCGACATTGGAGAGCATCTGTGAAGGTGTTCCGATGATCTGTTCACCTTGTTCTTATGATCAACCAATAAATGCTAGATACGTAACAGACGTTTGGAGAGTAGGAGTGATGTTGGATAACGGGAAGGAGGAGGAGATTGGCAGAGTGATGAAAAGTGTAATTATGGAGGAAGAAGGAAGTGAGATAAGACAGAGATCTAACTATCTTCAAGAGAAGGTGAATCGTTCTATGGAGAAAGGTGGTTCTGCATACGAATCACTGGAGAATCTAGTTGACTTCATCGTTTCTCTATAAAATATATCCATCTACTATTCTTTACAACATTTTATCATGTTAGTTCGATTGTTTTTATTTATATTTTAATCGGGTTAAATAAAACACATCCTTGCTAACAGTTAAAAAGATTATATGTATATCTTCATCACATGTATGTGGTTCATGTAATATTGTAATTAATGTGTAAATTATACAACGATTAAAATTTAAAAAGAAAAAAAAAAATCACATGCGAGGCAAGGCACCTAATTTCGTCGTCGTCTTCTTACACGATATGTTTCATGTTTGAAAGAAGAAAACAAAGTTAATTTAGTATCATGTGATTCATCTCCAATGTGAATAAGTAACTATTTTGTGCAAGTTAATTTTAACATGTCATAAAAACTTTATAAACAAGGTTATCATATAAATATATAATAGTTCTTATTAAATTTCATCACTAATAACTTTTTTGAAGTAGATGAAGTTTGAATCTAAAATAAAATGTACACAAACACAAAATAAAGTTAATGTAAACTACAACATTAAAGATGCATCGAGATAACTAGATTATCCAACATTACATAGGATGATCCGCCTATGCTTACACTTTTCTGGCAACTTTTTCATTTTATTTACATTTTCGATCATCAACTCATGTCCCTTCGATCCAATAACATCTCGTATTGTTTTCTCCATTGAATTTTTATCGCATCTGTCTTCCGTATGCATCCCCCCTTCCATGTTTTACAGATGAAGTTACTATTTACTCTGGCCCAAAGATTACGATGCTTTATTGCCCATTGATTTAATGTCTTCAACCAGCTTAATCAAATTCTTATACGAAGATCCACCTTCTGCAACACTCTGAACACTGTATTCTGCCATCGCTTTTACTGATGAAATAAACTCGTTTTTTCTCTGAAAAATAACATCTTTCACTGCTTTCTCAATTATAACTCTATCACATGAATCTTTTATATCTATTCCAATCTTCCACACCTCGCTAACAAATCGGCTATTTACTTGTTGATCGACATTATGTGGCCAACAAATCATAGGCACCCTCTCCACTATACTCTCTATAGTAGAATTCCACCCACTATGTGTTAGAAAAACCCCAATCGCTGAATGGGCTAAGACTTCCTCCTGTGGAACCCATGTCGCCATGAATCCCCTTTCTTTAGTTTCATCCATGAGATGTTTCGAGACTTCACCATCATCATACTCTCCAACAACCGACCCTGGACGTTTAACCCACAAGAAAGGTTGCCCACTATTAACTAATCCATGCCAGATTTCAAAGAATTGGTTCAGCGTCATCGTTGCCATGCTTCCGATACTAACATAAACAACTGATTTTTCCGGTTGTGTGTCGAGCCATGAGAGACAAGCTCTGTTTTCTTCCCATAAACTGTTTGAAACGTTGGATTTGTGTGCGATTTGGAGACGTGATTTGAGCAAGGTATGTAATGGGCCTATGGAGTAAATATTTGGGCAGAGATTGCGCATGTGAACGAGTATGGGTGAATCTAGGGCTTCGAATGTATTGATAATTAAACCTTGAGCTCGAGGAACATGTTGAGCTTCGTTCATGATGATGTGTATGACAGGATTAACAAGGTCATCGCAGCGATAAAAGGATGGTAGATCACGACGCCGGAGAAACGTTTCTGTGCCTGGAACGCTTTTGACTGGCATATCCAAATCATTACCTAAATCAATCATCAGATTAGGTTAAAATTTTGTTTAGAGATGTGAAATAAAATTCAAAGTGTTGGAGTGCATCGCCGGTGAAAGGAAAGAAGTTAATTAGGTCACCGTTGAAAGGAACCTCGCCGGCTTGGATCAGTTTAGGGAGGCACAAATAAGTCCAAAGAGCGCAAGGACTGACAGTTTCAAAATAAATCAAAGGAATCTCAATCTCTTCAGCCACATCAAGTGCAAACGAAAAGGATCCATCAGGTATGATAACCGTGACCGGAAAACCGGATTTGGAACTGAAGCATCCAGAAACCATCATCTCTCTGAAAACCGGCTCCGTCACAGTTCTGAATCCTTCCAATATCTCCAGAAACCGGTCGCCGGAACGAGGATGATCGTCGGGGAGTCCGTCGGAGATAGTCTCAAATCGAAAATTAGTGTAGCGGCTGAATCGGGACAAGACATCGGTATGAAGAATGAGAGAGCGTTGGATGTGGTCGGTGTTGAGGACAGTGACGGAGATGCCGGAGAGACAGAGTAGCTCTGCTAATTTGAGCATACAATTTACAGGGCCTTGCATTGACAAGGGGAAAATCAAGACATGAGGAGGCATGATCAATTGAATTGGTGAAACTGAATTTCAGAGAGTGTATCGAGATGAGTAAGCCAACACTAATGACTCGAAGCTGTTGGAATATGACAATGGCGACCAGATGTTTTATATTGAAATGGAAGATGAAGAAGATAATGTTAAAATTACAATTCCAAATCATGGAAAAGATACGATGGTAACAGCAGATAAAGATATATTTATGTGTCTCTTTCCTTTCCTGTTTAATTTTTTAAACATGAAAAATGTAACTTTTTTTTATCAGCCTTTCAACTTCAAATTGAGTTAAGTAACTAAAATAATGCCGTTAAAAAATAACTTAGATGACGTTCATAAATAAAAAAATATTGAGTACTAGTAAGTGAAAACTACAAATGCAATAAAAGTTTCAACCAAACGAAAAGGATAGAGCAATGCAGAGATACAATTAACAAAGCTGACAGCTATCGTGGGCCATACTATACTATTCAGTCAAGACACCGTTCTCTTTTGCATCGGCAACTTGTACAATGTCAGTATCCTGGTCAGCCTTCTTTCCTTCTCCATCACCTAACTTTGCATCACTCTCTTGTACCTTCTCATCATTTTGTTCAATCTTTTTAGCCGCCTCTTCCTCAGCTTGGGGAAATAAAAATGTATATCAACTTGAAGTTGAATTGTTGAGTTCTATGTAATCATCATATGTATAAATGATTATTGACAATGTAATTTGTTTTTTTTTAAAGGTATACGATTACAACAGTTTTGGATATAAACTTCCAACTAAAAGATATATAACAATTACAGAGAAATATACATATATTTTCACTCGTGAAAATTCTGTTTCTAAAGATCTAAGCTTATCATTAGCATGACAAGGTTGCCTCATAGCAGTCGGGTTACATGATGCATGATCAGGAGGCAGAAAAAAGCATACAACTTCAAGGCAAATCGATAAGTTTCGCTTTCAAAATATGAAAAGAAGAAAGTTATTTAAAATCTAGAAACAAAATGAATTATATTAATTCACACTACATATTCATCTTTTTTCCTTCGAGTTTTTTATATCCTCAATCAATCGATTCAAATTACTATAAGAAGTCCCATCTTTAGCAACCGATCTTCTAGCCATTTTCATCATTCGTTCAACCGGTCTCGTTAACTCATCTCTCTTTGTGTCCATCAAATCCTTAATAAATTTCTCAACAACAACCCTATCACAAATGTCTTTCATGTCAAACCCTAACTTCAACACTTCTCCTACTAACCTACTATTAACTTGTTGGTCCGCATAGTAAGGCCAACATATCATAGGGACTGCAGCCACTATGCTTTCCAACGTTGAGTTCCATCCGCTGTGTGTCAAAAATCCACCAACTGCGGGGTGAGCTAGGACCTCCTCTTGTGGGGCCCATCTCACCATATACCCTCTTTCCAACGTACCCTCTAGTAATTGGGCCGGAATGTTTTGGCCATCTCCTGCCACGGAATTGGGCCGAACAACCCACAAAAATTTCTTTCTAGAATTCACAAGCCCATACCAAAGCTCAATGAGTTCATTTCTACTCAACATGGTCATACTTCCAAAACTAACATAGATGACCGACTTTTGTGCTTGCTCGTCTAACCATGTCATACAAGTTCGGTCTTCCTCCCATAGACTATTTGACGATCTAGGTGGTGATGTCAATTTGGCTTCCAATCGGGATTTTAAGTTGGCATGAAGAGGTCCGATCGAGTATAGGTTAGGAATGTGCTTGCGGATTTGAGCTAATGCGGATTCTTCCAAGTCATCAAAGGTGTTGAGAATGAGCCCGTTTGCTCGATAGGTCTCTTGTGTCTCGGTTGTGACAACTTGGAAAGCTCTATCTGATAGGTCGTTTGCACGACAAAAACTTGGTAGGTCACGAAGCCGAAGGTACTTTTCCATCCCTGTGACGCCAAGTAGAAGCCTATCCATTTCATCATCTTCTGCATATTATCAACAACTCGGATTAGTAAAATAACTACAAAATTTCAAAAAAATGCTAAAAGTCATCTCACTGATTAGCCTCACGGCCAACATGAAAAATTAATAGTAAGTTGATGCTCAAACTCGAACCTTAGACTTATGAATTCTCGCATTTTTTACCATTCGGGAAATTATTTTGATCGTGTTATATTTTTGTATAACAATTTATTTGACACCATCTTTTAAAACAATTATCCCTCTTTTTTGGTTCAACGTATGGAAAAATGGAGTTATATTAATAACTAATTTGAATTGAGTCCATAAAAAATGTTCTATTCGACCCAAGAAAAGGTAAACACCAAGAGAACGAACTTTAACTTTCTATGATAATAGACGATGCACCTTTGATCGGAAGGTCGCCGGATTCTATGAGCTTCGGAATGCAGTAAAAAGCCCAAAAACAACTAGCACTAACCGTACGAAAAAGATAAATGGGAATCCCCATCTCTTTAGCGACGTCAATGGTGAAACACATAATCCCATCAGCAATAATACTTGAAACAGGAGGCCGTTTACCAGAATTCAAGCAACCACCAGGGAGAAGCATTTCTCTAAACATGGGTTTAGTTACCATTTTTATGGAATCGAAAATATCCACGACTCTATTACCGGAACGAGGGTGATCAGGCGGAAGCCCATCTGAAATAGTCTCAAATCTGAAACCGGGGTACCGGGAAAAACGAGAGATGACGTCGGTGTACCGGAGGAGGCGGCGGTGGATGATGTCGGAGTTGAGGAAGGTGACAGAGAGACCGGAGAGACAGAGGAGCTCTGCAAGTTTGAGCATACAACTAACATGGCCTTGAACGGGAAAGGGGAATATGAGTACATGTGGAGAATTGGATTGAGAATCCATTTTGCAAATTGGGGAATGGATTTTAGGATTACATATAATTGATTTCAGTTCCTGTTGATTCGCTTATTTGATGAAAATGCAAATGACATGTGAGAGAATCATCCTCTTTGTTCCGTAGACTTGAGGTACGGAGGATTTTTTGTTCATGCATAATATGCTTGCTTGTTACATAAGTAAATTATATAAATCACCCCTATAGTTTAGGTAAGTTGCAGGTTTCATCTTTATTTTATTTTTCATTCAGACGGTCTATATAGTTTGGTTGTATTTCGGTTTTGTACTTTTGGTCATCGGTCGAATTAAAATGACTCTTTTTTTCTTATTCCTATCATTGTTTATTTATCATATATAAAGTTTTATTAATATTAAATAACCCACCCTATCTCCCTTACCCCACCCTCCACCCCAACTTCCATCCTAACATCTTTATCCTGTCAACTCATTTTCACTTCTGTTGGTGATGAAGTGTGGGGGATTTTATATCGGAGATGAATTGGAAGCGGGAAGAAATTGGTTAAAGTGTATAACAAATGATTGATAACCTCTTATAAGTGTTTATCTATACCTTCTTATTTAGATTTTGTTTGGGTGTAGAAGAAATTGGCATCATGAGGTCAGGGACCAACTCATAAGTATTTTGTTTAAGCAAAGCATTGTACTTAGTTTTTATGGGATTATTCCAATTATGGTTAGGTTAGCAGTTTTAGGGTTGGAGGTATAGGATAAATGGATTGTCAGTATAGAGAGAAGAGAGGGTTGGGTTTGGTTTGGTTATTCCATTTTCGTTTATCAAATTTGCATGGAAAGGGAAGGTTGGGAGCGGTTTGATATAAGAAAGGAGAGAGGGGTCAGGTTGCAGTTCGACATGTATGTGAGTGTTACGCGGTTGGTCAGAGTTCGATGGGTGAGTGTTTGTGTTGTCGGTTTGGGCTAGTATAGGTATGAATGGGTTGTACGAGTGAAGTAAGTTGGTGAGGTAAGCTAGATAGATTGGTCTGACAGTTGTGGGGAAACAATAGAGGGTAGAGGGTTTGGTGGCATGAGCTTGAGCTTGGGGGAGGTAATTGAAGGTGTTGGGATGGAGGTGTTGTTAGGGATGGGATGGGGCATTTATTGAGGTACGTGGGAGGTGGTGTAGAGTAAGTATAGTTGTGGTAGGTCTAGAAAGAAGTATTGGAGATTTCAGTAACAAGTGATGTTAGAGAATGAAAATGTTTGTTCATCAAAGGTAACATGTCTTGAGATAAGGGTTTAGTGGCATGATCGAGTGTAGCAAATGTTGCCTTTGTAGTTGGGCGAATACCGAAGGAGATGCATCGTGTAAATCTTTGTGATAGTTTATGTGAGGTAGATGATGAGATGTTTGGGTAGAATAAACATCTAAACATTTGGAGGTGGGAATAAGTGGGCATTTTGTCGGTAATTGAGATTAAAGGGAGGATGTTGAGTATATAAGGTGGTATGATGGAGGGCGTAATGCTAAGAGGATAAATGATGTATGGAGAGGTTTGTGTATATCATATTATTTATAGTTCATATGATATGTTCGTCTTTTTCATTTTGAGGGTTATATGCGCAAGAAAATCAGAATTGCATATTGGTTGAGTTACATAATCGGTCGAAATATGATTGTTAAATTCTCCACCAGTATCGCATTGACAAGTTTTTATTTCCATTTGAACTAAGTTACGATATATGTACAAAATACTGAAATTGTATAAAGGTGGTATAAAATTGATTTGTTTTAAACGGGAAAATGTCCAAAGGAAGTGAGAATAGTCAACAAGTAAGACAATGTAATATTTATGTCCTTATTGTGAAGGATATATTGTAAATGAATGGGTGAAGTTCATAAGTCCACATGTATAATGTCAAATCGAAAGAGTAATAGAGTGCGAACTATGGTGATGTAAACAACAATGTTTTCATATTGAACAAGAATTGAATATAAAATTGTTTTTTTTATTACGTTTAGTACTCGATTTGTATTAGGGGGCCGGGAAGACTGTGTGGAGAACCACATGAAGAGGCATACCATATGTGGAAGCGAACTCATATAAATCATTGGTGATTGTGCATCTTATAATAAAAGTCTATGAGGGGGAGTATTGGGTTGATACAAAGTCTGTTGATGTCAAAGACATGTCTAAACTATATAACATTAGCAAAAAAACTAACCATGTTGCTAAGGGCTGATGTAACACATCTTAAGAACGAGAATCTCTCTCTCCATGAAAAATTATCTCATGAGGAAAGAGAGATAACTGAGAAGAAAAAGTGGATGGACGAGAGAGACAATGAGATGAAAGAAGAACCTACATAGGGCACTAACCCTACTATAGGCGAGATACCTAATATTGACATTAAGAAGAAGGTGAAGAAACCTAATACTGGCAAGAAGAAGAAGGTGAAGAAACCTAATACTGGCAAGAAGAAGAAGAAGAAGAAACCCCCGTGAAAAGACACCATTCACAACATAAGGTACTTATTGCAAATGTGTCAATTCTAAACAGAAGACGTGACATGCCAGTTTTTTTCTGTTTTAAGGTTCTTCATAGAAAAACCACACGGGTGAAATTCTAATGAAAGTTTGTTTTCTAATGTTAAAATATGGACCGGAACAAGGTTTTTTTATTATGTTTGACAGGTGGCAAACGTTTTTAAGGGTGTATCTTTGGTTATAGGATGTGGAATCGCCATAACCGATAATTGGAATATGATTACCTTTGCCAACCAAAATATAATGGGGCCTCTTTAAAGAAAACATATTAGAAGTCATACCCGAGTTACTAGTTACGTGAGAATTTAAGTTTTATATAAGTTCGATTATTTTAGATAATAATCAAAATAAAAAATAAATGTTGCATAGCAAACAACCCTTCTAAATTACAAGAAAAATAAGTCATTATAAAAATATAAGATGACATTTACATGGCATTAGAAAGAAACCCTATTCTTAGAATATCATTATTTTATCTTAACATTAAATTATTTATGAACTTTTTGAAATCTTCATGTAATGAACTACACCTCCAAACATGTCCTTTTACGTCCACATCAATAGCCATACGGTTAAAATCTTCTCCCAAAATTGGTTACCATGACTTGAGGATATGAATGTGATTAAACGTCGAGTACTCACCATTTAATCAAACTTTTATGATTAAAAAGTGCAAATTGGTGGCAGGTTGACAAGTGGACTGTAGAAGGAAAGTTCCTCTTCTCTTACTTTGTTTGGGCTAATTCATGGCCCAATTTCGTCATAGGATAAACTATAAAGAAGATACGAAGGCTCTCTTTCTGTCTAGTGGGCTGTAGAAGCTTTCAGAAGTGTCTTTTCAAGAGAAGTCTGGAAAGTGGAAATCGCCGCCTCAAGGCTCAATCTTTTCTCTCCTATAAATAACTCTCTGTCTCTATCCTCTCAGATCACAGTGAAGAACAGTATAATTGACACCACTAGAGATAAACCTTTCAAACTATCAAACATGTCGATCATTCCAAGCTTCTTTGGCGGCAGGAGGAGCAACGTATTTGACCCTTTCTCCCTCGACATCTGGGACCCTTTTCAGGGAATCTCCAGCGCCGTTGGAAACATCCCTGAATCTTCACAGGAAACAGCTGCAATCGCCGGGACAAGAATTGATTGGAAGGAAACGGCGGAGGCGCATGTTTTCAAGGCGGACTTGCCCGGGATGAAGAAGGAGGAGGTGAAGGTGGAGGTTGAGGATGGAAGGGTGTTGCAGATAAGCGGAGAGAGGAGCAAGGAACATGAGGAGAAGAATGACAAGTGGCATAGGGTGGAGAGGAGCTCCGGTAAGTTTTTCAGGAGGTTCAGGTTGCCGGAGAATGCAAAGATGGATCAAGTAAAGGCTATAATGGAAAACGGCGTGCTGACAGTGACTGTGCCGAAGGAGGAGGAGAAGAAGCCGGAAGTGAAGGCTATTGATATCTCTGGTTAGGTTTTTGTATAGAATGTAATAATCTAGTCGTGTAGTGTGGTGTGGGTTTTATGAGGTTGTTTGTATGGTTTTTAAGTTTTTTTACTTTTTATGTTAAGTCGTCAATAAAAGCTTGTATTATATATACTATTGTAGACTTATACTTGTCTTCCATTTGCATAGCCAATGTACTGCGAAAATGGACATATATATTCCATAAATGAGTTCAAATCCGAAGATGCTTAATGGCAATGTCTTGCCAAGAAATCCAAAACACGTTATAAAAAATAACAATCGCTATGTTGTTTCTGCTTTTCTGTGTTATATCAAAGTTTAGTGGTAATATTTTAATATATATTGTTTATGTTTAAAATTCATAAAAAAATATAAATTTGATTAAGAATATGGTCTCACAAACTTTTCCATTCATATAAATTCGCCTTATCATTTATTTATATAGAAACTTATTTTAATTGTTTAACAAATTCACTATAGTTTGCTTTGCAGGATAATCACATTTTGAGGTATATTTTTTTAAACTATAATGTTAAACCTGAGATAAATTTGTAACTTGAGTACTAGAAAATCTAAATCCCGAACAAAGATCATTACAAAAGAAATATCAACAGTCAAAAGGTGATGAAGATGATGACCTCATAACAGACATGGTACCACTTATATCATAAAACTCCATGAACAAAATACAAAAAAAGATATGACATACACCATGTATATGTGTTTAGTTGAAAAGACAGCATTACTCATTCATCACAGGCTTGTTTTCATTTGCCTTTGGCTTTTGCTCCTTTGGCCTCTCCTCCATTTTCCTGTACAAAAAAAGCAGATAGGATAAACAAGTAAGAAAACATAATCCGAAATACATAAATAAGTGGTTCACAATGTTAGATCTACAACTCCAGCCCTAAAAGCATCCCTCAATCAACAGCCCTACGGCCTACATTTATTTATTTCGCTACCCGAAGCATGAACATTGAATGTTTTAACATAGATGAATCGCAAAATTTTTATCAAACATGGATGAAATCAACATGTTAAAACTGGAACCTGTAACACACGATATGCGTATATAAACTTAATCATCTTTGTCACCCAATCAAAATAAAACATCTTGACGAAATCATTTACAGATAACGCGTATGATTCAAAATAGCGAATAAGCAAATTAGCAAACCAAAGAATACTCGAATCGCATAATACGAAGCCGACTAATTGCAAAAGAAAAACATAAAATACACAAATCTCATTACCAAATTCAAGAACGATGAAACGAGCAGTACCTTTTATCAGCTGAGCCTCCCTTCTGGCTGAGGAAGGAACGGAACAACGGAGAGTTGACGTCGTAGATCATTGCTGCAGATTGGTGCTATTTCGATGAAACTTTTTTCAGACTTGTTATTGTTAAACCCTAAATTTCTAGAGAACCCAACCCTCGATATGTAAAGGAAGGAAAATCGGGTCGAACCCAAACCCGGGTTACTTTCGCTTCTAAAGAGTTTTTAGCCCATTAAAATATTAAAGGCCTATACACAACAAATTGGGTTGGGCTTTTAACAGATTAAAATATTATGTATTATTATATTATATATACAATTAATTTTGAATTGACTTACCTACATTTAGGGCTGTAAACGAATTATTCGTGAACCGTTCGGCGGGAAGTTCGTTTATGTTCGTTTATTTAATAAACGAACGAACATGAACACAAATTATCGTTCGTTTAGTTAAACGAACGAACATGAACAATGTTCTCGTTCGTTCAATTATGTTCGTGAACGTTCGTTTATGTTGTTCGTTTATGTTCGTTCATATAAGTTCATTTTATGTTCACATATGCTTAATTCTGTTTAATTACATTAGTGTATTATATATTCATTTATGTTCATATATCTTCAATTATGTTTTTTTTTATCTTTGTTAATTTATGTTTGTTGGTTTATATTCGTTTAGTATGTTCACGAACATAAACGAACGAACATGAATAATGTAATTTGTTAAACGAACGAACATGAACAAGAAAACTCGTTCATTTATCCGTTCGTGTTCGTTTATTTGTTCGGCTAACTTAAACGAACGAACATGAACAAGCCCCGTTCGTGTTCGTTCGGTTCGTTTACAGCCCTACCTACAATATAAGTTTCAAGCCGTTGGTTTTGTGGTTTTATGGCGCGGAGCTGGGCTTCATTTGCATCGTCATCGACTTCTCTGAAACCACCATACACATGTTCTCCTCTTTTTATCCATCGTTTTCTCCCCCCTAATAGAATCCACCCCCCTCTCTCTCTCTCTCTCTCAATTAAGCTCCAACAGACGATGGATATGTTTTCTCCCTCAATCATCACAAACAAATACAGACGTTTGGGAATCTTCGGCCTTTGTTTCTCCTTACATCTCATCAGTCCTCCTCTACCCTACTGTAGAAATCACATTTCACCCAAAAAAGCCCTAAATTCTTCTATTTCACTCTTCGTATGTTTACAGATGTGGGCATGTTCTGCTTTAAATTTGTTGGTGTTTGGGGTTTCCGGTGGAACCCATTAACGCGACGTGATTACGGTCTCTTGGTTTATGAGTACATGCCAAAAGAAAGCTTCAACGATCATCTTTTCAGAGGTATGCGTAAGGTCTTGCAAGTTGCACCATTTTTCTATATTCGATAACTAACAACTCTTCATCTTCATCCATTAACAATTTGCTTTCAATTTTCAGGGGCCTACAACCGCTTCCATGGGCAACAAGGCTCAAAAACGCCATAGATGTTGCAACAGGCCTTATTTTTGTTCATGAATCAGTCTAAATTCATTAATTTGTTGATAGATTATGAAGGAAGATGGTAGCAACGAGGAAACCAAAAAGTTAGTAGGATTCGTGAATCAGAGCTTTATTGTTCTATAGTGAAAATGGAATCAGAACTTTATTAATTTTCAAAGGTGGGCTACTTATGTAGAAATGACACCAAAATCACCATTTTAAAATCTGGAATACGAGATAAATTATGAATGAGGAGATTATTGGCAAGCATATGGAGGTTCTTTTTTGAAAATTTATACATTTCGTTATGCAAATTATCGTTTTATAGATATAGGAACTAAAGGATGTTGATTGTATAATTGTTTTCATTGGACTTGATGCAAGAGGTTGAATCAGATGACTTCTCTTCCTGTAATTATGGTATTTTATCATTTATAAATTATTATGTTTTTTATGAATTAAATAAATAAAAGACCATGCTGCTCGATTTTTATATTGTTTGCAAATTTTAGTGTGAATCATTTTTGGGATTATGCCACTAATGGACATTTTTTGGGGGAGAAATTCAAAATTTAGTCACAAAAAATCGGATTTCCACATATAGACACGCTTTCCGCGGAAGTGAGCTCCGAGGGGCTCCGCAGATTCACTGTAGCTCCGCGGAGTGGCAAAATCGTAATTAAATCAAGGGTGTTTTGAAAAAAAAAACAATGTAGCTCCGCGGAACTGTTCATCGATTTTTTTTTCATAAACACCATTGATTTAGTTACGATTTTGCCACTCCGCGGAGCTACAGTGAATTCCGCGGAGCTCCTCGGAGCTCACCTCCGCGGAAAGCATGTCTATACGTGGAAATCCATTTTTTTGTGACTAAAATTTGAAATTCTCCCCCAAAAAATGTCTATTAGTGGCATAATCCCATCATTTTTTGGGTAATCGGAGTGATGGTTAAAAAAAAAATCATTTCACCGCAATTACGTCTTTACATGTTTATTTATAATATAAAAAGAGAGGAGCAATATTGTTTGAAGAAAGTCCCTAATGTGCTCTCAAAGATTAGAACTTAGAAGAGCCTTTCTACAGCCATGAAGAGATGAGGTAAATACATGTTATTTTTAACACTTTTAGATGTTCACAAAAGGTTTTTAACTTTTTTTTACTAAGGATTAATTTATTTTTTATTAAATGGCCTAAACCAAATAATGACTTCACTGTTTGCACACTATGGAGATTGAAACCAATTAGTAATCATTTTAAGGTATTGATTGCATTCAATATGGTAAACGAAGTTTCTCTACTTTTATAATTGTCGAGAGCATGCTTGATATTTGAACGAGGGGTATTCTTGGTAATTAATAGTTTTAATGTTTTGTAGCATATAATGTGCATTTTTGGAGTAAGAGAATGAATATATAAAACCCATATGAGTTAGCAAATAAGATAAACAACATTATGGTGCTTGAGATTACTGTTGAAGGAGTTTTACATCTTGTCACAAGGCATTAGATTATGTACATGTATTTTCCATTCATGTTTTTTTACGTCGAAACGTAACTTTTATCAATATAATCGTCAAAGTTCAACTTACAAAATTCAATGTTTATAATTAGGCTTTTATCTATTACTAGTTGTTTACCGTGCAAAGCAGCAGGCGGCAACTAATTTGTTTATGCAAATAGTTTTAGTACGGTAATTAGTTTCCTTTAGGTGCTACCTAGTTCATTACAACCTTTTTACAGAATGTTTTGTGTCAGATAGTTTCTATCTAGGTGGAGAGTCGAACAATAAGACATGGAAGTTGAACATATATTAGAAAGTTCATAGTTAACTTTACGATATATAAATTACAACAATCCGCAATCATCCAGTTTTGTTCATTTAGAACATGTACACATAAAAGTTGATGCATCGATATATTGGTAGCCTTGCATTAAACATCAAAATGATTATATAAGATTCATATTTTAACAAATCTTTTATTGTATTATTTTTCATTTGTTATTTTTGTTTAAATTATTGTAATTTTAATAGAAAACAAATCTTTCTTGAAATTTCAAATTTAGGAAGTGTGATTAAGGTTTCGATGTAACACCCTGTTTCGGGTCGTTTCATAATTCGAGGCCATAACCCGAAGATCAAGTATCATAAGGCTTCGGGCTTTGGGGAAGAGAGGTTTAGGCCCATTTGGATGTGGGTAATGTTGATATGTGATCCAATAGTTTGGTTTGTGCTTTGGAGTCAAAGGGTTAAAT